ATCTGCATTCTTCTGGATTTTTTTTAAGCTTCTCCTGGTTTTTGTTTGCAGCATTCTGTAATTCTTCAAGTTTGTCTTTCACACATTGAAAATATTAAATCATTGTTCTTTTGAATTATTTGTCAGAAAGTTCCATCAGACCTTCTAGCTTCAGGAAATCCATTGATACTGAGTCTTTTTTTTTGAAGTGGGGGGATGACATCTTGCTTTGGGCTTGTATAGAGTTTTATGTAGCTTTCTTCCTTTGTGACATTGCTGCAGTAGACTTTTTCACATCTGAGGCAATAGCACGTTCTTTATCTGAAGTCACTGCTCCAGAAAATGGTGGTGCAGCTACCCTGCCTAGGTTTCTCTCTGCCTTCTGACCCAAGGAACTACGCTTCAGTTCGGTAGAGAAAAGACCTGTGGAAGCAACCTCCTCTGTCAGACAACTGCCACAGTTAGGCTACCTCAGGGTGCTCTGAGCTAAAGGCAGTTGATGGATTGGACATGAGGAGATGCAAGGTGGAGTGCAGAGACCTGATTAGAAAACCAAGAAGCCTCAGTTTTCCCTACAAGAATGAGCTCCTGTTGTCTCACTCCCTTCAGATTGAGCTTAAGGTGTTCCATGTGATCCAGCCAAACAGCAGTGACTCCCCCCTCCACAATGTACCTCACTTAGATTCCAGTATTGCTCCCTGGCGTGTCACTCCCCAGTACATCATTTCCTGGTGCAGGTGTGCTGTCAGTTCCCTGGCACAGGAATCCGAACTTATTATTAATATAATCTTGACATTCAGATGGAATAGACTCAAGATCATGTCTTGGTTCTTGTGGACTTATTTTAATTTTCTGCATGCAGCCTCAATTTGAACTTGCACATGAGTAAATAATGGTGCCACAGTCCACCCCGGCTTAGTTTTGACTACCAATATTGAGCTTCTCCAATGATTCCTTCCACAGATATAGTCAATCTAATTCCTATGCAGCCCATACATAGAGGTCCATGTATAAAGTCATTGTTTCTGTCTTTAAAAAAGGTATTTGAAGTAAATAAATCATTGAAAATACAAAATTTGGTCATTCTGTTTCCAGCCTCATTTCTATCACCGCACCCATTATTATCCAATGGGTAATTCCTTCTTCACTGTTTTCAACTTTTGCATTCCAGTTACCATTTGTCATTAATGCATCTTGATTGCATGTTTTGTAGATTTCAGACTGCAACATTTGGTAAAAATTTTCAATTTCTTCCTCTTTGGCTCTAGATGTAGGTTTGTATATTTGAATAATAGTTGTATTAGCAGGCCTTCCTTGTACACATATGGAATGTCACTCACGACATTGTATTTGAGAATAGAACTTGATATTGACTTTTTCACTATAAATGCAACATGATTCTTCTTTTCTTTCCCAACATAGTGTTGTTGTTGTTGTTTTTATGTGCCGTC